TGCCCGCTCTGGTGCATCTGGTGCATCTGGTGTATGTATGGAATCACGGCTATCCTTTCACGTTCTGTATCCGTGTTGCTCAGATTCTGTCGCGTCCTCTGCTCTGCCTTATAAGTCCGCAGGATCGTCTCAGCAACAGACGCGATAAACGCCTCGGGGAAACCTGAAGCCTTAAGGCGGGAAACTTGAGCTTTGAAGCTCGCAGAGATATTGTGGGCGCACGGCCTATTTAAAGCATTCTCAAGGCAGGTTCGTGCTATGCCTCGCTTAACTAGCTTACTGTGAGCAGAAGAAAAAGGAAGTGCGCCCACAATATCTCTGCGAGCTTCAAAGCTCAAGTTTCCCGCCTTAAGGCTTCAGGTTTCCCCGAGGCGTTTATCGCGTCTGTTGCTGAGACGATCCTGCGGACTTATAAGGCAGAGCAGAGGACGCGACAGAATCTGAGCAACACGGATACAGACCGTGAAAGGATAGCCGTGATTCCATACATACACCAGATATCACATAGGCTAAAAAAAAAAAAATCGGAAAACGTGTTGGAGTTCGTGTCCTGTTCTCGGCACCGTTCAAATTAATCAGCCTCACCAAATCTACGAACCCCCTGAAAACGAAATCATCAACAGAATGCAGAGTTCAACATCGAAACAGGTATGCGGCCTGCTCCCGGGAAGTCGTCTATAGGACCCCCTTTCATGTGGTGCTTGTTATGTCGGAACGACCGGAAGGTGTCTGAACGATCGGCTGAGAGAGCACGCGAACAATGTTAGAAACGGGAAAGATGGTTTCTTGCCCAGCACTGCACTGATTGCAATTGTGTTCCCCCTTCGAGGACACAGCGACGCTGTAAAAACGCAGAGATGTAAGCACCCGGGTCATTGTCGAGGCTGCGCAGATGGCACGCGAACAGGTGCCTTGTATTAGCAAGCCCTCCGTGGCTTTGTCCGAAAAGGAACACAGGTTCCTCGAAGGTTTCGGTGCGGGCAGGTAGTTATTTTATTTTTACCTTTCTGTTTCGTTTTCTTCTAGGTTTTTTTCTTTGCTGTTTTTCAGTGCCTTTGTTTATGTGTTGTTTGTTTTTGTTTTTTCTTACTCATGTTCTGCTCTTGTGCCATATGGTTTTTATCACATGGTCACTGTCTCCTCTATATATTTTCGTGCTCTGCGCAATAAACTCAGTTGGAAGTTAGCGCTCGTGTCTTTCGTGTCCTTCTTGTCTCTGTGTCGTCGTTTTGTTCTCGCGCTATAACTATCATCGTCCTCTGAAGAGATAACATTCCCCATCTTTCCAAACGCCGCTTAGCGCACTCCACCGCTCCTTTGTTAATATCCCTACGTTCATCCTCGAAACCCAGCGCCACATGCAACGGATTGTCTCCTCTACGTTGGGGTTCGATTTCCTTGCACTCCACCACAATGCGTTCGATTGTTTCGTCCGCACACTCACAGACTCTACACATCACATCCCGATGATCACTGTCAATAGTCCGCTGGCGCTCCAAGGTGCGCAGTGCCCCAGCTAGCGCCTCGAAGAGCAGGCTGTTTCCAAGGCTATTGTCAAATATGTACACCACACCAATAGTCCGCGTGTGTTGTCCATATATGGTCATAGAGCTCTTGCCCCCCCATCCCCTGCAGCCACAGCTCCTCTACCTTCTCCTGGACACGGTCGCGCACATTCTTCACATATTTCTGCTATGTGTTCGCCTGTATAGGTGCCGTGAAGAGCCATGCATATTTCTTTTCAAGGCGGTATATGCGGTTTGTCCAGTTGGTGCGCAAACACATCGCTGAGAGGTAGTCAAGGACCTGTCGGGCAATTAAGTCGCTCTTCCCGCGGAAAAGGCAAGTGGCCACAGTAGGTCAGTTTGCTCGCCGCCTCCCGTGCCTCGAAGGTAGACCACCTGAGGTCTCCTTGAACAGCCTCAATAGCTACTGCCCAATGCGATCCCAAAGCAGTGCGACCGAGCTCTCGCTGCCGTCGTTCCAGCCATTCCCTGGTCGCATAAGACAGGCAGACAACGGTGCTGCAGAAAGTCAGTACCAGCACATGCACAAGCTTCCACATGTCACGAACTAGGAGATATCTGTTGAATCGATCCCCATACGCTTCTGCGCCGGAGAACGCACTGTGCCCGTAGGGTCACCCGTCTCACTATTTCCTCATGTTCCCTATAAATGTCGCCTCCTCCACAGAGCGTCACTCCAAGGTATTTTTACGAAGAGGAAACCCCAGCACCTGTCCAGGCAGTTTCAGGGTTTCATTGCCCAGTGTCACACCCACCAGCTGTACTACAGTCGTCTTCTTGGCGTTATAGCAAAGTCTCAGCTTTTCGACTTCCGCTGCACAGATGTTGAGTAGTGCCTGCATGTCTCGATGATTTTCTGTCATTAAAACCATCTCATCTGCAAACGCTAGTCCAAGTATCTTGCGATCTTCGTCAATACCGGTAATACTGTATTTCAGGCTGAGGCCAAGAGAAGACCTCTCTATCGCTCGCTCAAGTCCGGACACATACAATAGGATATAGTAACGGTGATAGTGGGCAGCCCTGACGGAGACCCCTCGAAACCTCCATGAATTCTGTTGCGACCCCAGCAAAAAACGTCGTAAGCATCTAGTAAGCATCAAATTCAAGGCAGATTTTATTTGATATTAAGCCACCGAATTTTGTCTCTGTAGGTTATTTCATCAGAAACAAGTATCTTTTTATTTATGATCATACGTGGGTTTCCTCCACAATTAAAAAAAAAGTGTACTCGTGCTGCTCCTTTATATAGTTCGGCCATGGAGGCGACTACCTACTACTACTACTACTACATACATTGCGGAGCACGACCCACGGCTTAAGGAGCTTCCCCCTAAAAAGATCAGCAGCTGTCACGTGCTGCCACACAACTGTATTGTGGGGGAAACGAGTTCCAGGCCCCACCTGCATGAGTGAGCAAACGGCTTGCACACCTCCTCCTGCTTCAGACCTCTCCGACTTGTTTATGCTCCAATTTTTCAGTAAGGTCGCATTTGCAGATGATTTTTAAAATGCCGTGTTTTGATGCTGGTTTGTCTTTTTTCAAACGAAAATAAGTTGCAAGTGCCAGTCTGTGTTATGGCCACATTTCTTGGCAATGCTAAGCTAGAAGCTTTTATGTGTCATGTTTGACACTAATACCAGTTAACTGACAAATATGATCTGACATAGTAGTGTATATAACGCTTTGTAAAGCATATACAAATATAGTAATAATAATAATAATAATAATAATAATCATATAGTTTGGGTTTAACCCCTTTTTGCATAAATTATAAAATGTCATTTATAATATTTTTTAGCTTTTATTATTGATTGAATGAACCTAAACGTGTACAAAAAGTTTTAGAGTAAAAATTTCTGTATTATGAAGATATAGCTTTGTGCCAAATATGGCACACCATGAAGGTGGGGGAGCATTCTAGCTGCCATGCGCGAAAAACATACCATCATAGAAGGTGGTTTCTTTAGTGCGATTTGTGGAATAAAATTAAGTAGCTGTTCTGCATTCAGGCACATATAGTAATTGTTGCACTTCCTGGATCTTACTATTTCTCTGTGCAAGACGGCCACTTAAATCTTTGTCTTTTCTCATTCAATTCTGGCCAGTGGCCGGCTTGGTCAAATCGGGCATCATTAGTGGGCATTGGTGCAGCCAGTCTCCGTGCTTTTTTATCTTGAACATGGAATTCGGTGTCTTCTCTGGAAAGCCTTTCTAAACGCTTTTTGGGTAGGCACTTGTTGTGAGAGGTAAGGCATTTTACAATTTATTGGTTAACGTCCCTGCCTTTCCTCTCTATCTCTCTCTCTCTTATCTCCCTTGAATTGAGCCAGCAGTAGTACTTCTTTCTTCCCAAGCTGCTCCTACACCCGCCTGTACAGCTGCTACTACTGATAAGTCTAGCATATGCGTTTCTTGGACTTTTTCTTCCTGATAGCACTACTTTGACATGATGTGCATGCGGTAAAGTCAAAGCAGTGAGTCCAGCAGGTCGACTCCGCCCATGTGTCTGGTGTAGACCTTTACTGCGCTGGGGCAAACATTTTAACGAAGCTCTATGGTTAAGGTAAACCAGCGCTTTGTCTTTTGGACTGAATTCCTCCCAACAAAACTAGACAGAAATTTCACGGGGTGATAGAGGGACCCGTGATAACGTGGATGCATTCATTGCGCTGCCGTGCTACACCTTCACTGCATAACACCTATATCCCCTCCCGTGCAATTTCCTACTATCTGCAACAAGGTAAATGCTAGTTAGCGGTGCTGAGCTGCAGTCGTGGAGGAAATTGAATATCCGAAGCTTGAAGGCTACGCATTACATATATTTGTTTTGTATTTTACTGGACAGATGGCACCACGATACTAATTTTGTCTTTCAAGTTCATACTGTGCCAAATTTGACACACACCAATTTCGGGTTCTCTGGTGTAGTTGTGGAAGAACTTCTGAATACTAATAATGAGCTTGAATTTGAGATCATAAGGTATGCCAAAATATTTTTCTATCTTTGTGAAGTGAAAATGTTCACAAAAGAATTATCAATTTCTCGTGTTTACCCCCTCCGAGTTGCACGTCCCATCCCAAAATGCACTTGCTTTTGTTTTGCTTATTGCTCAAGAGCTATAGAATTACTTGCCCATCACAAATGCGCATAACTATCAGAATTACTCCAACGGCGTCACATTCTCAAATGGGCAGCCCACACCCGCAAAAAAAAAAGGTAAATGGCATGTGCCAAATATGGGATGCCATGCAATAGAGGGTTAAGTTCGGAAAACCACAATATGAATATCAGGGACGCCGTGGTGGAGGGCTCCAGGAATTTCGACCGCCTGAATGTGCACCTGAATTCAAGTGCATGGGCCTCAAGCATTTTTTGCCTCCATCAAAAACGCGACCCCGGCCTTCGGGTGAGCAGTCGAGCACCATAACCTCTAGACTACTGTGGCGGGTGTCAACACGCAAAAAAAGCATTCAAAACATGTCAAAGCTTTATTATGCTTAGCAAGCTTCTGAAAATATTGTGTACTAAAAGTATACCACACTCTTTTTTGAAATGGTATGAAAATTAGTCTACAGATTTTAAGTGTACCAAACTATGTACAATACGTTGGAACTGTTAACTACGCCAGTTTCAACAAAGCACTTTTGGAAATGTGACCTTGACAACTGGCACAAGCAAAGGAAGATCTCTGCAGCCCATCTATTTCATATGCACAGAAGTACTGTAAAAGCCACCTTCACAGTATGTTGTAGATGGCACCTATGCAAATCTGGTATGGCATGCTAAGTGCTTATTATGGTTAACAGCAAACCCTATACGCATTAGAAAATGAGCTACATTCACTCTTTTTTTTTTTTCTATCACACACAACCATGCCAAGCTATCAAACACTCAACCAACACACTGAATCTGCACTACTGGAAGGCTTGGCCATCTTGGTCTTTTATCACTGCTTACAGTTGTGTTGGTTCTTGAGACAATACAAAGGAGTCTGAAGTAGCAAAGCATGGTTGCCAGCATGCACAGCACTGGTTCTTCCAGTTCACAGGAACAGTTACACATTGTTAATGCTTCACTGACACGCAACAGATGGCGTCTGCATTCTGTACACAGCGACAATAAAACAAGAGGCTATACTTTGAACACTGGAAAATGTAGGCATGTGACAGTATCTATGTCACCCAACATCAGGCAACAGGAACAATGACTGCAGATGGCAACATTAGTTACCCATAGGCACAATTAGACATTTTGACATGTAATGCACGTGTGCCCACTGTCAATAAACATTACAGATATTCTTTACAAATCAAGCAGAACTGCCTCTTGTCCAATTAAGTCACACCATAGAGCAGTGCTAACAAGTAAAAGCCTGTAAGATGGACTTCTTGCAGGCTGTGACACACAACAAAGGCAGTGTCTTTCAGAGAACGTCTAATTAAAGTACTACATAAAATTGCTGAAAAAAAAAAAAAAAGGACACTGGTAATAAGTTTCAAAAAGTGAGGCACTTTTGAGCCATTGCACCACAAAGCACTGTCATACAGTACCTTCGTGCAATAAAATAAAGTTAGAAATCTTCTGCGATGAAGTCTTCAGACCCCTTTACTAGTAAAACAACAAGACGCAGGCAAAATGTACAGTACAGTATGAAGCTGCTTGTAACTATGTCACAAAATCAGCTTCGAAGATTTCTCATTGGGTTGAGCTAAGCACTTAAAAAGAAAAAGAAAAGGAAAGCATGAGATGATATCTATTCAACGTAATTCGTACACTTCATTACCACATATAAGCAGCTGACAATACAGTAGCTCACATTGCAATGTGCCTGACACGTTAAGAGTCTTCCTGGCATTTCGCCACGTGTTCTTGACTATGGCGATGTAGAGCATTTCTCCTGCATGAAACAACTATAACGACTCCTGGAAAGGTTCCCAGAGAACAAATGCCCTCAGGCATACACCACAACAGCAAACAACTCGTATTACTGACAGGCGTTGGTTTCAAAAAATATCCCTAGAAGCAATGAGAAAAACAATACTGCCAGTGTTAGACCTTTGTAGTGCATATCAAGATCCTAAATTCAGTAGCTTGGATGATATGAAGTGTCTAAAGTTCGTGGAGGTCCTTGTAGTGTCACTTGTTCCCGATCCATGTTGGCATATTCATTGAGGAACGTACTTGTGCCATAGAAGCGCTCCTGTTCTTCGCACTGGCGTGCAAAGTCTTCCTCCAGTTTCTGTAGTTACAATTCAGAAGTGCAAGGAAGATGTATATTAGAATGTGTATGGCACTGTCAAGTGAATAGTAAAACCCTCAGCAACAGTCCCCTTTTGATGATACATAACCGAAAGGTGGACCCTGTAGCAGACTGAAAATGGTGAGATGGCAACAGGATAGTTGTGACCAAAAAGTGGTTTATGTTGCTGGGATGCTCGCATCCCTCAATTTATTACTAACAGGCCTTGATAAGATTTATTTTGGAAAATATAAAAGACAGAATTCCTCATCGTTACTAATGCTAACGATTTAAATCAATTTGCTCAAACATAGGCATAAAATTAGTAGTATCCAGTTCCTACATAACATCACAAAACAGAAAAAAGGCTTCAGTTACCCTGTTATGTAACTCCTCTAAAAGCATAAACTAGGCACAGACAAAACTTCTCCCTAACACAAATTTTTGCTAAAACAATCCCGCATGAACAGCTTTTATTTGTGCACCTCAACCGAATGGAATTCCCTTCCTCTTCATGTAATTAAATCTAGAGCTTTTCAAAAGAGCTGAAAAAGCATTTTCCGCAAAATTTAGGACAAACCTTAGGCAGTTATTGAAACTATTATAGTCATCGAGACATGAGTTTAAAAAATTCAGTTAATCTCTAGGCTAGGGCAATGAAACTTTTTTGCCGTATACATATGCTTTTAATGCTTATTTTAAATATGTAATTTGTTTCATATCAAGTTGCACAGTTTGACAATGTGTAAAGTGTAGTTTATTTTGGAGCAACTTTTCATGCCAATTCTCAGGCAATACTAATTGTTTACATTAGGTTTGTATTAATTATACAGGCGATATCAAATTTTCAGGATATACTTGCCCCTTCATATGTTGAAGAATATCTAAACAAAATTTTATCCTGATCTGGCTATCAGAAATACCAAAAACATTATGTCTAATCTCCAGAAGTTTTCTGAAAATGGATCCTGAGAAAACCCATTTTAAAGGGGCCCTAAAACACTTTTTCAAGTAACCATGGAATGAATTCACCGGAAGAGCTTATTGCCTTACGAATTCAAAGCCGCAAAAATTTTAAGAATCCATCCAGTGCAAGTGAAGTTACAAAGGTTTATTGCATGCTGCGATTGCATTCTCTCTTCTCTTGTCCTAACGAAAGCACTGGAAGCTAAGCAGGGAGGGATGGCAGGCGCACAGAAAAACGTCACGCGGGCTTCGCGACCTTGAGCACTTTCTTTTTTTATTATCTTAAAATGCGCAACTTTTTCAGTGTAATCGCGCAAGCACGCGCGGACAAGTAGCCGCCTCCCGTGGCGATCTCTGCAACGAGTGAGCGCGCCTTGTTCAAATCAGCAATGGCTGACAGATGGGTCAAACTGTGATTTTTGGGCATATAACGTGATTTGTCGAGAAAAGAGGAAGCAATTTTTAGCTGACTTTATTTATTGTGAATTCCAGGCCGCGCACTGTGCTATAATATTTGGCTCGCTTGTTGTCTGGAGCCTCTACTACCGATCGGTAGCGTTTTCTGACCATGGTCAAAAAGTGTTGCAGGGCCCCTTTAAAGGTAGAAGTCAAAGCTCAACTATGCGGCAAAGATATGTTTATTAAATCGTTTTTTTCGATCATAAGAGCTTGGCAATATTTGTTATTTTCAGCATGTCGCTTTAGTGCACTCTTCATGAGAAATGCAATGTGAAGTAGCCAGGTGAAAATTTCCAGGGGGCTCTAGAAAATGAGCTCTCTTTAGTTTTTAGTAGCCACCTTACGCTCTTTAAAAGCGGTTTTGCTCTACTTCGACTTTAAAGAAGCTGTCTACCACTCGAAAAATTTTTTTCAATTGTGGCACTAATGAGAAGATCTTTCATCACATCGCGCTTTTGTCCCATAAAAAAGGAATTACAATTTTAACTTGATGTTGAAATTCAACGAAAAATTACCGCTAGCGCCACCCAACAGCAACGTGGTGAAATCTACTGGCAGGACAAGAAATCCTAGCAGGCAGACTTAGTTTGCTTAAAAACAAACATGCATAACCTGAAATGGTACTTTATGTACTTGAGGCGGCTTTAGGCTGCGCCAAAGACTAATTTTTGCTTTTTTTCTCACGCGTTTAAACAGGCGCCTAGTGGTTCTGCCGGCGGTGTGTTCACTTGCCTGCATGCAAAGGGCAAAGAAACGCGAGCACAGTCTCCGCCGCTGTTAATAAGAACAACAAAAAGTGTGTGCGTGACTTAAATGACCACAAAGTACTTGTTTTATAAATAAACAAAACTCGATGAAGCCTGCAATGACCACATGCAGTTTCAGTTTTTGACTTTTACTGGCATTGCAATTGTCATTGCCTCCACCGATCAGTGTTTTGGACATTCATACCACCGATGAAAGGAAACTGAACTCAGCAAAATTCTGTTTTAAAATTTTCTATGCACTTTCCAGAGAAATTCCCGCAAGATTAGACACTTTAGATAGTACGCTTCTTATTGCATCCCTAAGCAGAAAAGCAGTGAAGGACAGTAGACAGTCTTTTTAATTACAATCTTCAAGATTTGTTTTTTGTAGGGAAAGTTGAGAAACCAAACTTACAAAAGCAAATAAAAACAAAAATTATGTAATTTTTGAAAAAACTTGCATTTTTTTACTTGCATCTCCCCTCAAGGTTAACTTTCGTTATGCTGAGTGCCCCGTCTTTGTTCAATATCAAAGTGAAACTTTGGTCATTTTTTCTTTATTGTGTCATGCCTTGGTTCACTAATGTTTTTGTATGAATTTTTAGACAAAAAGTCATTTCCATTATTGTGCCAAAGCAAGCATTTCTTGTTAAGCAATGTAGTTGTAGATTGCATTAGTTTTATGTACAGTTCAGGTTTATATATATATTTTTCTTGCATTGTCTGTATCCTTTCATTATGTTGTCACTGCATTGCCCCTCTTGGATGGGCCAGCATTTTGGCCTGCAGTATAAATGAACAAATTAAAAAAAAAAACACATTTTTTTCAGCATGGCACTCCTGTGTACTACAAGCGGGCTTCACCATGGCACATGGGCTAAGCCGAGATGGCGCCATTTTTTCTGCAATGGCACCACTAGAAGGCGAGGATACATGGATACTAGGCCTGTGCGAATAGTGAATTTTAGGTTCGAAGCGAATACTAGTGATTTTGGTCGAATAAGTTCGAAAGGTATATATACTGCATATTATAAACAAAAAGGGGGCATATTTGTCATGACCAAACTAACCTGCACAATATTTTTTAAAATTTAAACAAGGCCTGTGCAATGGCAACTTTTTTGCATCAAAGGAAGTGGCAACAACTTTGTATAGTAGCAGGACTTTACTTTCAGTACAGTCCTAGAGACATCCAGTAAAATATGCTATGTTTTAAAATTTGCTATACTTAGAGCATATAAGTCAGTGTAACGAGTTTTTAAACTGAAAATAAAATAAGCAAAAAAAAAAAACATTAGGAAAAAGCATTCGAATATTCGCACAAGCCTATTGGATACACAATTCTAGTCAGCCAGCGAATTTCTTCACAGTGTGACTGTGGTGCAAGACCCCATATGTCTTATTTATTTCATCCGCAATGTGCTCTGCACCCCTCCTTTCTCACGTAACGCCACCATGTGCATGTAATAATTTTTTTTGCCAGTAATACAGCTGGCAGCAGATAGTTTGTCCATCCCAATGTTGCAGGTGAGTTTTAAGATAGCATGTGGACAATGGCCGAAACGTTATTCTGCCATGTCTTGAGTTTCGTCGTGTGTTTACATAACACCGAGCCAAAATGAAACTGATCGCCATGCCCACTGTGGAGGAAACAACAGTTAATGACCAAAGACGAAACTGCGGTCTTTAACTGATGAAGATAGCTATGTGGACAGTGTTGCCTTGTTTCGGTTGTCTGCGAGCGCTGTGCTCTTTCAGATAAAAAATTTGGGGCACTTCGAGTACATTGCGCTCTGAGCCTTATCCAAATTAACTGATTGTAGCTGCACATGACTGAATTAACAAGTATCATGCCATTAAACAATACATATGCTGGATGGAATCAGGAAACAGATCCAAATTATCTGAACAGATCCAAATTATCTAATTTTCCAAATTACTGAAGGTCAAAAGGAACAAGCTTTTACTGTACTACAGTAGAATCTCGATGATATGAATTCAAAGGAGGCACGCAAAATATTCGTACCATCCCGAATTCGTATGAACCATAAACAATTTAAAGCTGATCATGAAGTTGAACAAGAACTTTATTGGGGTCAATTACTTCTTGCTGAAAAAAAAAGTCCATGATGTTCTTTTGAACATTTCTTCTTTTACCGCCTGCCGATAAAGTGCCACAGTTTCCTCACTCATGCTGCTGGCACTTAAAGCACATTAACACTTGGCAGTAAAGGAAGAGGAAGCGGCAAACCTTATTGGAATTTCACTCGCTTCGCCGCATGAGCGACTAGAAGAACGCGCCGTAATGCCGACACAGAAAAAAATAGGCCCAGGATAATTCACACGGGAGAGTACATGCAAGACTACCAGAGCGGCCACAAAACCACGTCCGCACCCGTCGAGAATGTTCACATTCATTCTGCGCCTCGCATACATGCCACTGCGGCGCCTCTGCCGCTTGAGAATTCATTCCATTTTGCCCGTTTCCTGAGCATTAAGATTCGTACAGAGTTCTGGTTATGCATGCACGTTTACACCCATACGAACATTGTTTCGGGAGATGTGCCAGCAGAAACAACACAAGCGGATGCAGCGGCGACGAGGGATTCAGCCGGCAGTGCAAAAGCGAGGCACGCTAGGGCATGCAGACTTGCTGCTGCTGCACCTTCTACTTCTGGTGTTCGCAGTGATTGTAATCCAAACCAGGCCGAGAGCTTTGTCATGCTGCGCAGGTAGTTCGCGACTGCGCCAACGCAAGCCACCACCAACACCTTTGCTGCCATCTTGTTGCTTACATCGTGTGGTTTGAGAGCTAGTGCAGTCGATGTAGGTTTTGTGGTGCAACCAAAGCCGTGAAGCAAAAAAGCGATCTGCTATCGTGTGGCGGAAAAATTGGTCTCGGACAGATTTTATCGCGTGGGCCTTGCGGCATAGCTTTCCGGCCACTTAGGCAGCGAAGAGAGAGAAATTTCCGCGAGTTTTGCTGCGTGCACTCCCTTTGAGGCCAAGTGTCAACGGAACTTTCTCCCACGGACAAGCCGTGTTGCACTGTTCTCGTGCGGTGGTCAATCGTGTGTTAGTATCAGCCACGGCAGCTAGGGAAACCATTTGTATAACACCGAATCAAGGCTTATTTTCTATAATGTAGTTCATTCGAAGCAAACTCAACATTCTCATCATCACAACGTTCGAATCAACTGTGATTGTATCATCGAGATTCTACTGTACTGAAATAAGCACAGGGAACACCGATTTTTTATGAGAAACATAAAAAAGGAGCAAGCTTTAAAGGTGGCTCATAAGATGTGTTTCTTTTAATCGTACCTTTCTGGAAAATCATGGTGCAAACACTTAATTCTACCCTGATAACAATGTCGAAAAACCCCTACCCACAGCTTCAGCGGGCCAATCACAGAATAAGTGCAGTATAAAGACAACTTGCTAATTATTACTCAATCTTTTATGCTACTGTGAATGCGCACAAACTATTTTGCAATGCTGCAGAAAGTGTTTTTACTGTTATCAGTTTTCTCACATGCAAATACATTCGAACCCTGTAACAACAAAACTAACGAGGTGCAGAAAAAATTTCATTGAAGCGAAAATTTCATTGTAGTGAAATCGAAAAAATATAGCCAATCCGAGCGAGCAAAACAAAGGTATGTTTATTCGCAAAATTCAAAAAGTGTCCGCTGCTTCCTATTCTTTCCCAGCAGCGTCAAGACGTGATTCTCAGCCAGGCATAACGAGGCCATGGAGAAAAGCACGCTAAAACAACGCCTGAAACCGCCTTCATGAACGAACCAAACAGTTGCATTAACACATTTACACCAGCAGCTGTCCGCCGTCAAAGTGTATCCGACAACGCCGAGATGGAGGCAGCGTATCGTGTAGCAGCAACTTTTGCCTTATTCTATGCCATTCCTATCATCCATCACTCGCGGCTAGCTGATTTTGTTGATAATGCGGAGGAACAGCCACTCTGATTAGTAACCGTACTCGCCAAGCGCGAACATAATGATAAACATCAGAATCCGAAAAGGCATTGTTTACGCGGTTGCACCCAGCAGCTGCGTGAAGCAAACCATGAACTGAGCAACTGAGCTTCAGCTTCGGATCGTCTGCGGCTCAAAAGCAAGCCAGTGGCAAAAGCAGGGCAGTCTTATTGCCATCGCTATCGAGCAATGGCGTCCGGCGCCCATGCTTGCTGAACAGCGGCGGTTTCCGGTGGTGCTAACACGTGTTTTAGACTTCGTTGACGCATTTTCAGACTCTGAAAATGCATTGAAATGTTAAAGATTGAGTTTACTACATAGCAATAAGTATCTGAGCCTGGAATTGCATTGTAAAACTTAGTTGAAGATGGATGACAGAAGAAAAAGTGTTCGTTGTGGCGACAATATTTATGCATTGACTCCTATGAATTGCTGACGGGGAATTGTGAATTTTTCGGTGTAGCGAAGTTTGACAGAAGCTTCACTTTCATGAACTTTTTCAAGTCAATACCTTGCACTTTGTCACTTGTACAAGAGAACCTGAAGGGACCAGAAGACACCTATTTGTACGGGTGCAAACTTGCAATGCTCCATTCAAGAAGAATTTTTGTTTAATGAGGAAGATGTAAAGAAACACAGCTCACAAATATGAAAACAACCAAATTAGATGCAGTTGTTCCATTCAAGTGGAAATTCTGTTTAGGCACAGGCTAATTTGACGGACCCATCAATGCAGTATTTTCATAAAATTTAGGGTGCCAGTTTTCGCAGTGTAAACATAATAGCCTAGTCCCTTAACTTTTCTGGCCACGAAAGTGCCACCTCAGTTTAATATTGAGCTAGCAGTGGCCGTTAGGGATGCCACAGTAAAAAAAAGCTACCCAGCGCTTGTATTTTTTCTTCGCTTGTGTGTAGTGGCCAAAAGCAGGCGCTTTTAGATAATATTCAATTCTGTTTTGCTGTAGCAATTACAGGAATTAAGCTTGGAACTCTAATGTTTTCATAACAAAGACAAGGCACATACAAATATCATAATTTTTAAAGCCCTCATAAGCATTGCTTCACTCGTCCTCGCTTTCATTGTAAGCAAGGCTCCCGCCAGGGAAGCTGAAATGACTTTTTTCGTGTTTTTTTTTTTCATGGTGGGTGTTCTTTCGTAACTATATCATTTCATTTACTGACCAGATGGGCTTCCATCGAAACCTCAACTTCACAAATACATAGTAAACAACCTCAAATTTAGCTGGCGGTTCCGTGTGACAGCAGACAATGGGCCTAGACCTTTTTACTGCAAAATGTGTCCTTAGTTGATTGATTTGTGTAGTTTAACTTCCGAAAACCACCATATGATTGATTATGAGAGACGCTGTAGTGGAGGGCTCCGGAAATTTCGACCACTCGGGGTTCTTTAACGTGCACCCAAATCTGAGCACATGAGCCCCCAGCATTTTCGCTTTCATTGAAAAATGCAGCCGCCGCAGCCGGGATTCGATTCCGCGACCTGCGGGTCAGCAGCCGAGTACCTTAGCCACTAGACCACCGCGGTGGGGCTGTGGGGTGCTATCACCCCCTGCAAGGTTGTTTGTGCCTCGTGGTGCACACTTGCTCCGCAGATAAGCTGCGTTTATGGTTCACAACCGCCGAGAGGTAGGTGGCATTCTCGTGAGCGTGTCACTTATCCCCATCATCATCATGATTAGTGCGGTAGAGCCAGCAGTGATGCCTGGCGGCGAGGCTGGCTGGCGGCACATAAGACGTGAGCGGAGCTCTTTGCCGCGTGGCGGCTGGCATTGATGGTTGTCTTCTGATGGGGTCCCACGGGGTGCGGCGACCGTAGGCGGTACCATGTGGGTCCTTGGCGGTGAGTTGAACATTGGCAACATGTCGCCTTTGCGTTGCCTTGTTTGTTCTTATGTTATATTGAGTGCATTGGAAAATATGTGTTTAGCGCGTTGATCACTAGTGATGTATTTGATTCGACTGGCGATATCGGTGGCCTAAAAGTAGTTCAATAAATGTGTTTTGTTTTGTTGCTTCGACGACGTCTGCTGTGTCCGTGTGTTTCGAGGGCGGGAACTCATTTTTTCGAGATCCCACAAATCCGAACGATAGGGCTGTTTAACAACCGCCGCAGACGTGATTTTCTTTAAAAAAAATTACTTCTTCAAAGCAGTAAGGTGAATAATGATGCATTACCCTGGAGCGAGAGAGAGAGAGAGAAATTAAAAAAAAAGTTGACAAAACGCTATTCGAACTGCCGACTTGCAGCAATACAGCTTCTCTAACAGTGTGTCACCTACTACGCCACCAAAGCCGCATGGCGGTAACATCTAAAACGATTTACCAATTATGGTAATGGGCTCACTCACTTATAGCTTTAGGCCCCGTAAATTATATGACATTGCTGTGCTGATTGATTCCCTCGGTTTAATGATATCCCCATGCTCACGGGCCCCCTCACATTTATGATAACACTGCACTGACGGGCAGTCCCCGTAGTCAGTGCCTTCTGTTTAAAATATTTCCATCTACCTATATTCCACTGCACTGGCTTTGTGAAGGTAGTACTGCTGCTTGCCTTCCCGTTTCTCTATCAGAATACATGAAATCAATGCAGTAGCAGGAAAGTCTTGCAGCATTTCCTCAGTGATTGTGCTAATAAACATAATAGTTTACCTGCTTTCGTGGTTTCAAGTTGGCCTTCCACTCGCGCAACTCACTGCCGTGCTCGTCATCCAGCTGCTTTAGTTTCTGGGTCTCATGCTCCATAAGCATTTTGCGCTTCTCATTCTTGGAAGAGAGAGAAAAAAAAGCAAATACATGATAGTACTTTGTCCCTGCTTGTCAGAGCACCAGTACACCAACTCAAACTAAAGGTAGTCAATGAATTATTTCATTTTACATGTTGACACGAACTTTAAATAACCATGTTGCCACACAAAAGCCCAAACTGCATTCAATTTAACTGTCTTTCAGGCAACAAACCTTGCACACCTATGTATCACTACAGTATCTTCAGAAGATGGATTGTCCGCTCTTTTTTTTTTTTTGCCCGAAAAAGAATGTGTCCTCACGCTTAATAGAAAAACAAAAGGAAAGTAGGTTGAGCTAAACCAACAGATTGTCCACCTACAACTTTTTAAATCCAAAAGACGCACAAAGTAAGTAGAAGATGAAAGCTCAAAGGAATAATTTTTTTTCATTTCGAGAAACTTCCAACTTCCCCTAAATTTATGCCCCCATTTACAAAAAAATTAACACAGTAGTGGAGTAACATCCCTGGTTCACGAATTTTGCATTTTCGATATGCCTATATGGCTGTCAATCATTTATATAGAAAATAGGAAATAACCACCAAAGGGCCACTGCTGCAGCTTAATTTGAACAGCATATGCGAAGATATGATGCTATTGCTATGCAAAATTTATGTATAGTGTTATTTTGCTTCTATACTATGGCTACTGCCAATGTGACAACAGAGTTACTGTAGCCAAAAACAGATGCCACAACTTTTGAAATTTTTCTTTCTCTGATGGAAGAACTTGTTATCGAAAAGCTTACGATTTTTGAACAACAACACACACACATGCACACTTGTGGCATGGTTGCGTGTTTGCGATGTTACTTCAAAAGTCATCATGAACCAACTTACCCCTTAAGAAGTATTGATAGAGAAGCCTAGTTTAATTAAAATTTAGCTTGACTTATTACTCTCCTTTATTACTACTTAGGAGCGCACCATAAACATTGTAGAAAATGAGACCGTGCAAAGAAACATTTACATAGTCTTCTGCACGATACAGCACTTCTGAACATATTCCAGATTACGAAACAACATTGTTTTCTTTCCTTGCCTTTAATTTTTACCCGGTCAAGGCTTAGTTAAGTTTAGGTATAGTACTTCCACGGTGGTCTAGTGATTACGGTGCTCGACTGCTGACCCGCAGGTTTCAGGATGATATCCTGGCCGCAGTGGCCACATTTTCGATTGCGGCGAAAATGCTTGAAGCCTGTGTACTTCAATTTAGGTGCACATTTAAAGATCACCACATGGTTAAAATTTGCAAGACCTCCACTACGGTGTCTCTTATAATCATATGGTGGTTTTGGGACATTAAACCCTAGATATAATTATTAATTATCACTAGTTAAGTATAGTATGAGGATTCATCCATTATTTAATGCCATGCTTATGCTATGCCATCAAACTGGTACTGTCAGAACAAAGAAAAGTATTTTGTAGCACATGAGACACCATAAAAGAGGCACTAGGCAGATCAGCATTTACACCATAACCGAAGCTACATTCTGAAATGCCTACCTGCAGCTGTTCCAGTTCTTTGATGGTCGCATCAGCAGCAGCTTTCAGCTCTTCAAGCTGGCGTCTGTGCTTGAGTTCCTGGCGCTGGTGCTCAGCCTTGTATCTCTTCTTTTCTGCCTCCTGAAACTGATGGCACGAGCAAAATTCTGCATTACTTTTGCTGAAAATACCAACTGAACTCTTATGACACTCCATGAAGACTTTATAATGTAGTACTTTGCCTTCAGGCAGGACTATGCGCTAAACTACAAAAGGACACTCTAATGGGATCCTAAATTACCTCTAATGATTTCTTAACATTTTAAGTAAACACATACATCAAGTTCAAAATGCCGTCGTTATCAGCGATGCCAAACGTAGCAACGAGCCGCAGATGCCCCACAAATGACAAGAACCGATCTTTTCTCTCAAGCCATTCGTTTCGGCATTGTATGGCCTCTCACGTGTTCGCCGTGTCGTCAACTACTATACCTGTTTATCCGCTTCCACGTACTTGCGCAAGCTGCTCTTCCTCCTCACCTTGTCATCAACTGTGACCAATACGGTCGGTCAAGTAACACTGCCGTCCAAGAACAACTAGGTCATGACTACTTTTTTACGACTGTATCCACAACAGTTCAAAACTACTTCACTGAACTCAATAATGTTATCTCCCAGTATGGTCTAGGTAGTAATAGAAAACTAAAAAAAGTAAGTTTTTCAGAATGGGCAAGTTGAAATCTAATGCAGTTGAGTTTCGCAATATGGGCAAGTTGAAATTGTCTGGAAGGCTTGCACCCAGCAACCAGTACTTAACCTACACAACATTTCTCAGCGTGTTGCGATGACCACTCAAATTACAGTGGTAACCCAATGAATTTCGACTGCAGTCACCTTTCTCATTGAAAGAATGCAAAAATGATGTCTTGGTACAAATAATGAACTTTTTGCTAAAATGCAGCAGGATGTAGCAGGTTTCACCTCCTGGTGCAGTTTAGTGCAATTAGAGCAGCTATCACTGCTACTTAGATTCTTGGTGCCGCCACAATGATGCAAGAGCGAAAATGGGGGAGCCTACCTTGAGGCATCTATGATTTACCCGCCCCTGTGTATGATACCAATTATTGAGCACCTTATCAAAAAGAAAGCTCCTAGAATTATGCCATTAATATACATGAAAGCTTCAGTTTTTGCGTTTTGGAATCTAAGGAACAGCATGCTTTGCTATCTACAGTTGAAACTGCAGATGCCGAGGCAGTGATAAAGATCAACTATGGTAATTGAAAAACTTGATGATTGATTGATTTGTGGGGTTCAACGTCCCAAAACCACCACATGATTATGAGAGACGCCGTAGTGGAGGACTCCGGAAATTTTGACCACTTGGGGTTTTTTAACGTGCACCCAAATCTGAGCACACGGGCCTACGACATTTCCGCCTTCATCGGAAATGCAGCCGCCGCAGCCGGGATTTGAACCCGCGACCTGCGGGTCAGCAGCCGAGTACCTTAGCCACTAGACCACCGCGGCGGGGCGTAATTGAAAAACTTTGTTAGGCATCTTGGTGGACTTCAATCCAAAACCCAGCCTCTTAGGCATGAGAGGGTTGAGTGACGAGGGCAAGCATCAAGTGGTGAATCTCAATCTCAAGCATGCTGCACAGCCAAGAGTGTCTCAAGGTACTAAAGAAGCACCACTATAATGCTAAGCAGCAGTCTCATTATGTTCCTGGTGTCTATTAATGGCTGCATTGCAAAGTATACATATATTCTACTTGTTATTCTTAAAATAAGCAGTGTGCTATTTGTTTTTTGCACTTTTCTCGAATGTAAATTTATGACTATACAGTTTTGAGGCCTATATATATTGGCACCTAAAGAAGGCACAGACGTAATTCTTTTTGCAATAAAAACTTTAATATGTATAGAATTTAAGTAAGGGAGCAGGATGTTGAACACAAGCCTTTTTAATTAATCATCATGACTGTGACTGAAATGCAAGTGTTTTTTAATGTGCATAGTTTATTCTGCTATAAAATAATTGATCACCCCCTCCCCCCCTCAATATAAAAAAACTGCTGCTACATAACAATCTTTAGTCATTAGCTTATGGTGCCTTTTCTCAAATATCATTTTTAATTGAGCACTTTCTTTTGTTAAATCACTATAGGTGGTCAACTATAGGTCGAACTATAGGGGGTCAAGATGAGTTATCTTGGGAACAGAGCAAGTTTAGAAGGAAAATAAGTATATATTTGAAATAAGCAGTAAACGCTGCACAGGCCAGGGCAGACTCATTAAAAGTGATGAAGAAATAAAAAAAAAAGCGTTTAACATGAGTGTACCCCCTAAACTATGGCTCTCAAATTTCCCCACAATGCAATAGGTAGAACACAAAATATAGTGCAACATACTCCATGCAATAGTCAGCAGCGTGCAATTGGTTATGCCGTCATAAAGTGCGTCATCATATATTTGAACTCTGGCTGGAGTTAGCTGGGGCGCCTTGTATACCACAGCAAACATTCCCTTAGAGTTAATAAACAGTTCCCAACCAAGCACAGACAAATACAAACAGATCTCACTTAACTGCAAACACTCATTGCCACAATGATGGCAAGCTGAATGCCATGAAAGAAAGCTAGAAAATTCATTGCACTGCCTCACACTTGTTAGTGGTTTCAAAAGTTCGAGATAACACATACTCCAGCAATAGGAACATGGGAAGACAGCACACACTAGATTCATCCACATCAGCTAGCTCATTGAGCCCTTGAACAAGCTGTGGATTACCAGCAAAGTAGGAAGTACAGGTAACATGCTCAGCTATGCAGAGGACTTATCCTATACAGACTAGGGCAAGACACACACATTTACAGCTCCTTTGTCACTGCTGCACTTCATCATTGCTGGCAACTCATTCGCATTGCCATTGACCATTTGTAGGGGGTGAGACCCACCAAAAAGAGTGAATTATGAATCACCAATGTGAAGAGGGCCCTTGTAAGCAGTTTTCTCTAACACTGTCTGATTGTTTATTGCAATCTACTTTTCATACCCTCATTTTTCTTGGGTGTCCTTGGTTGAAGGATTCCCTGTATGGTTTTCAATTCCGGGCTCACTCTAAAATAGATTAGATGTAAAGAATACTTGAGACCTTGAACCTCCCTTATATATTATATATATAAATTTTTAAAATTGATTTTACACACTATTAGGAAGCATATTCAGTGGGCATGCTACTGTAATGATTCCACAGTACTTTGGCTCAAGGAAACAAATGCAGAGGGAATTGGGGGTGCATTCCATTGTAGAATCTTTGTAGATTCTGCAATGGGATGGGAATGGATGCAATGCAATGGGATTCTACAATGGGTGCATCCCATTGTAGAATAATTTTCCGTGGTACTAATAACAATGCTTCCTACAAAAACTGCCCTTTAACATGCTAATTGATTGATTGATATGTGGGGTTTAACGTCCCAAAACCACTATATGATTATGAGAGACGCCGTAGTGGAGGGCTCCGGAAATTTAGACCACCTGGGGTTCTTTAACGTGCACCCAAATCTGAGCACACGGGCCTACAACAAACATGCTAATGACAACTACTACAGTAGGGCACACCTGATACATTTTAAAAGAGACCGTAAAACAATGCTATGATTACAATGTAACAGCAGGGTTTCTAATACATGAGATCCTATGAGACTGGCGAAAAATGACACAATAGTTAGAAATATGCAGCAATGAGGAACGTAGTAGCAGGGTTCTTTTACACTACCAGCATGCTTTGCGGCAGCAGTGGCACAGCAACACTAATGAAATTCGTCCACTAGCACGAAGTTTATAAAACTATAATTGAAATGTAATGGCCAAAAAAATTAGAATTTTTTTACAGTTTCTATTTACTTGCAATTTGCAGAACCAGAAAGCCACAGACACTGTCTAACAGTCAAGTACCTTGCGCAGTCTGTCTTTGTCCTCATCTGGAGAGTCCGGACCACCATGAAGACTGATACGGAGGCTTTCTTTGAACATGAGCTCGCGTGTCTTCATCTCGGAGCGAATGCGCTTGGGTAGTTGACGGCGTTCAAGGGCTTGGCGCTTCAGCAGCTCATCCTCCCGTCGCAAGTTGAGCCGCTTGACCTGCTCTAACTCTTTTTCGTGCCGAATGAGCATCTGATGCCGTTGGAGAAAGAAGCAATCCTTGAGTTGCTTCTTAGCTAGCTGGTGTTTCTCGTGCAAGTGCCTTTCTTCAAGCTCCCAAAGGGCCGCTTCCCGTGCTGTAGGAAAGGTGGTTATCAAAAGATATGTTGTAGAACATCATATCTGATATATTCACTTTGGCTAAATTCGTAAATAAATCAAAAGTAAAATAAACCAAATAAACCGCTCAAGCCATCTTGGAAAAGTAACAAGCCTTGCATTTGTTTGCACACGTATGTGTATGTGCACACCTAAAGTGCCCTCCACACGCATGCACGCACACATATGCACACACACACACATACACACACATACACACTCGGTGCTCTAGCTAACTCAAGTCAATACTTCAAGGGCCCCTAAACACCCTAAATAATTTTTTAACATTTCAATTTAACAGTTATCAAGTTCAGAAAGCCGTCATGATCAGCAATGGCAAAGGCAGCAGCTCTACGTGCCATGGTCACCCCCCGAATTTCAAGAAACGATAGTTTTTTATTTCCAAGCTTTTTGGTAATTTTCAGCATTGACCGTGATGTCAACATTCTTATTTGCTGATGTCATCCACAAAAAGAACCTGTTCATGTGTTCGCAAGCACGTGCACTTGCCCAGGAGAAGACCCGACTTGACGAAAGGAGCATAGCGAAGAAAAAAGCGTAACAATTGAGGGCCTCGTTTGTATCATTATACGTATGTAACTCCACTATTACACCACTGTTTAGAAAAATTCTCCAGGCTACGAGTTCATTGCAGCCTCAAACAGAAGTACAACATGACAACTACCGTATTTAATTGAATCTAGGCCCATTAAAAAAAATTTCTTTGTATAAAATTCCAGGGTCACGTTAGATTTGAGGATTTTGAAAAATGCGCCATTTTTCATTGAGAAAAGTGGTGTACAACTAGCACCACCTAGACTGTATGGTAGTCGTTAATAGCTGAGCCAACACCTGGCTCAAGTACAAACGTGAGGTTGCTATTTTGATTTTTGTGGCGAGTGTTGAGGCGAACCATTTGTCATTTCGAGTCGCGCTCCGAGTAGTCTGTGCATGGCATAGCTCAATGGCGCCAAACAGTCGGTATCATTATAGTGCCACCTATAAAGGGAAAGTTGTACTAGTTGAGGAGTCGTTGTCCAACTTTCAAGCTGGGTGGGACTTGGGAGTGGAAAAAAGAAATGTGCGTCATTGGAGGGGCTGCAGCGTGGGACTACATCTCTGGAACTTTGATTATGCGCTCTTTTAAGAAGCGTGGCATATCCATTGCGCTTGACGGCACCAAAGAACACGCACTGCTTGAAGACAGGGACAAAGAAGGCAGCGAAAAGAGAAGCGGTGATGACGACTCGGAATGAGCGTGGCATCTTTATAATCAAATAACTAAAAGCAGCGCGGAAAAAAAAAAAACGACAACAAAGAGACACACACAACAGGACTAGCGGCTGTATGTTTCTCGAGTTGTCTGCATCATGAACCAACTGCTCTGTTTTATCTTCATGTTCAATAAGTGTTCACTCTTTGTGAAGAGAAAGGGAAACAACTTTATTTATCCCATATTAAAGGAAAGCAGCTGCGAGAAGGCGAGGGATCCTAAACGCGGTAGGCCTCTTCTACCACCTCAGCCCACCTCACGATAGCCTCCTGAAGGTCGGGGTTGTAGCAGCGCAAACCAGCCTCCCACAACACTTTGTGAACATTGTTTTCACTGTTTGGTTTGGCCTACATTCGTGGCAAGTTTTTTTTTCCCCTAGTCCTCGAATGTTTTGGGGTCTGCTTAGAATCGGGGTCGGCCTAGATTCAAGTAACTATAGCAAGTTCTGACCTTTGGTGATTTAAAGGCCCTTAAAAATGTTCTGAACCACTTTTCAAAGTAATCATTGAACACTGAATTACCTCCGTACTATTAGTTTTCACTGCCTCATGAATTATTTGCTGCAAAACTTTCTTCAATCTGTCACAAACCAATGGAGTTACAGAGGTTTGATGCATGCTTTAGATATTGGCCCAGATGCATGATATAATGCTGTTTTCATGGGGCTTATATCAGCCAAACAGGATGCCTTAATAAGATGACAAGGGAATATGCTGTCTCCCTGAAGACAACGGCACCATGTTAACAACTGATAGGCAATTACAGAGAATGTACGTGGCGGGCGCATCTCGAGCAAGTTTTCATTATAGCAAAAAGGGCTGACGGGAGATAACGGAAGCAATCAAAGAGGGATGCACGTGTGCCAGTGGTTCTCACAAAGAAGGAACTGTCATATCCTTTAAGCAGGTAAAAATCTGTTTATAATAACATTAAAGGGGCCCTGCAACACTTTTTGAGCATGGTCAAAAAACGCTGCCGATCGGTAGTAGAAGCTCCCGCGAACACGCGAGGCAAATATTATAGCGCGGCACATGTCCTAGAATTCAGAATAAACTATCAAAGTCCGCTGGAAATTGCTTTCTTTTCTCTTGACGGATGACCGAGGAAACTCAAAAATCACTTGTAGAAGACCATCCATCAGCCATTGGCTGATTTGAACATGGCGTGCTCGGTCATTGCAAGCTCGCCGCGGGAAGCCGCAGCTTGTCCACGCGTGCACGCGCCATCACCCTGAAACAGCTGCGTATTCAAAGAAAAAAGAAGAAAAAGTGTTCAAGGTCACGATACGTGCGTTACGTATTTTCTTTGCCCATACCATCCCTCCCTGCTTAGCTTCCAGCGCTTTCGTCATGACAAGAGAAGGGAGAATGCGATTGCAGCCTGTGACAAGTCGCTCCAACTTCACTCGTACTGGACGTATTGTTACAATTTCTGTGGCGTTAAATTCGTGAGGCAATAAGTTTTTTTAGTGTATCCGTTCCATAGTTACTTGAAAAAGTATTTCAGTGCCCCTTTAACACCATTTAATGCTGGGTATCTGTTAGTGACTTTAAGTGTTTGGTTACTTTACCTGCGTGCACAGAAATAAAATTTCAGTTAGTCTAGCCTTGTCTGTTCTCTCCTTGTCCATTGTTTTCAGTTCCACTGCTTGAACCAGGATTAGTCATTATCATTGCCACTACAAGATGGTGAATGCAAAGGGCGAGTTTGCATACCGTAACAACAATTACATGATTTGATTACAAATGCAGTTTGAAACTATACATAACTTTACTTATATACTTGCGTAACATGTTGCCATAGGAGGTCACCCTGCCAGTTTCTCCGAAACTTTGGGCCCTCCTGCTGTACTCTTATAACCATGTAACGAAACTGAATTATGCAACTTGGAAGTGTGGCAGTTTGGGCTAGTGGGTATGACATGACGGTATTTAGAGCGCGAGAACAGAATGACGACAAAGAGACAAGAAGGACACGAGCGCTCGTGTCCTTCTTGTCTCTTTGTCGTCATTCTGTTCTCGCGCTATAACTACCGTAATGAATTATGCAATAAACATGACGACTTGTTCAGCTAGCAGCAACAATTCACATCGCATGTTCTCGACATCCTGGAGAATCACACACACTACAGGATGTAATAGCGAGTGGCTATTGTCGCATGGGCCACCACCCTATGCACGGCTGTTGCAACATTTCATAAATATTGGGCACCAAATTTGTTATTGACCATAAGGGGCAGTTCGTGTCCTGTTACCTAATTCAATAAATGCTGCCTAAGAGTGATGATAATGGACATCAAGTAAATAGTCTTATTTCATCACCCAAACAATGTTATTTTCTTGATTACCTTGTGAAGGGAAAACGTGGGCAAGCACTATGAAGATAAGAGAAACCTCTGTCTTTTACATGGACATAAACGCCCATTAGTTGCAGTCTACTCAGCAGAATTGTCACCAAGTAAATAAGATTTCATTCTATCAAGATAATGCTTACTGATTTCATAATTTTCTTGACTACCTTATGAAGGGAAAAGGTGGGCAAGCACGATGAAGATATAAGAACCTCGGCCCTTCCCAACTCATCCGTTCCTTTAGAACACATAAAGCAGCACTGTTGCGACCCTAGAATTAGACCGTAACTGCAGCCTAACTAAACAATAAGAAGCTGGCACATGTACAGTCATGCTTAATATGAGTTGCAACATGCTGACTGGGATCAAAATTGTGCCAACGCTGCAAATCGACACCTACATAGAAAAATATTGGTGAATTAAACTCTCTCAGCTAGTGCGATTTTCTGAACCATAATAAAAATACCAAACAGCACTTTGTGTTTTTTATATCTGTTTAAATTCTCTTTCATATTTTTATCATGAAACCTCACCAACTCACCCAATCTGCTTGTCTTCTGCAGTTCTTTTTTTTTTTTGAACCAATTCAGTCTTTGTCGATGACACTGTAAAGGCTTGGCACCAGTGTAACTACAGTCAGTGCATTGCAACTCGCACTTAGCCCGACTGTATTGGACAGCCTGCCCGCACTTCTTATGTGTGAATGTCAGAGCCCCCTACCTAGCAGTTAAATTTTGCATCGATTTGCACATTGAGACTTCATTACAGAAAAAAACAGCAATAGGTTTGCATGCAAAGCTGACTTTGTTTCCACACTATGAAAAAGAGACTAAGAGAAAGAAAAAATGGGGGGCAGGGGGAACTGCAATGATGAAGCTTCAACATATCTCTCTATCAAGGAGGGTGAATGCATGGAAAGCATGGGAGTTATGACAGGCAGGGAGGTAAGTGTTCATACAACTAGCTTAGAGGAATACAGTTAGATCGTTTTATAAGAGGCATGCTCCGGGCAGCTGTTCTTGTCTGTTATACGAGATGTCTCTTATAAACAAGGTACCTCGTATGCACTTTCTTACGAACTTGTATTTTAATGTAGGCACACTGGTGTCTCTTATACCCATTTGTCTCTTATTTCGGCGTCTCTTATAGAAGAGCTCGATTGTATTTCATTAACACAAACATTTTGCTTATACAAGACTTGCACTTGAGTATGGTTCAGGCACAGGTGGCCTTCATTAGCAAACTGCCATTATTTACAATGGAATACAATGAATACTACAAATAGGGAGCCAGCAAATGATTTGCATAGCTCTACATTTCAAGAATGTAGAGGACTACTCTAAAGAAAACCAATGAGTTTTAAAAACGGCAAATAGAACTGATTCATGGATATGCGGGGTTTACAGTCCCAAAATCACCATATGATTATGAGAAATGCTGATTCAATCTAGATGTTGAATGAAAGGAATTGTAGACAATGCTGAACTTTATGCATGATACGATCACTACCAGTAAAAACTACTAACCTCGAAGTAGTTGCTGCTTTTGCTGTAGGAACTGTTTCTCAAGAAGAGCAATCTTCTCTCGATGGCTGTCGCTCAGCCTCTTCATGGATAATTCATGCTGCTCATTCAGTTTCTCCACAAAAAGTCTCTCCTACACGTGGAGAGAACAAGAATTATGTTTCTGACTGCAGAGAATTCAAGCAGAATAATGTAAAATTTACCTTTTCAGCTTGATCCAAATCCATCTTTTCCTTGCGAACCCTAAACATGTCCTTTCGCTTTTCCTTTGGCATGAGCTCAACTTCTTGTTTCAAAAGCTTTGCTTCATTCTTCAAGCTCTCTCTGAATGCTTTTAGCTCTCGTTCCTGCAAAATGCAGGTTGCAGAAATTAACAATATTTCACATGCTTAAAGTGCGAAACTCGAGATCAATGTTGAGCAAATGCAGTTCTTTGCCATCCGCTGAAATCCAACTTCACGGTCATTTCCAGTATTTCAATTAGAGGTGTGAGCAGGCTTTGGGTAGCCTAAAAGCCCGAGCCCACCCCGGCCATGTTTTTGTCAGGTGGGCCATGCCAAATGCAAAGCCCGAATCAAGTCCTAAATATAGGCATGCCGGAACTGTTTTGCAATGTGTATTGTCTTCTCTGCGGCCGCTCCCCACCTCCCTTTCCTGGCTCTCTTTTTATTTATGGAGAACTATGGTGGCTGTGGAACCACTGTAGATTTCTTCCACTAAGTTTATGTAGAGTTCTTCGGTGCCCTGATTCCATAATGCCTGCATTACTGCTGATGTCTCGACTGAGTCAAACGCCTTCTCGTAATCTATGAAGGCTATGTACAGGGGTTCCTTTTTTTCCGCGCATTTCTCTATTACCTGATTGATAGTATGAATATGTTCTATTGTGGAGTAGCCTGTACGAAATCCTGCGTGGTCCTTTGGTTGATTGAACTCTAATGTCACCTTAATTCTATTAGCTATTATTTTTGTAAATAGTTTGTAGACAACAGACAGTAAGCTGGTCAGCCTGTATATTTTCAAATCCATGACGTCTCCTTTCTCATGGATTAAGACGATGTTGGCGTTCTTCCAAGATTCTGGTACCCTTCCCATCAAGAGACACTTCGTATAGAAATGGCCAATTTTTTTAACACAATTTTTCAACCATCTTTCAGGAGGTTCGTAGTTATCTCATCCTCACCGGCTTTGCCTCCTTCCATTCCTTCTAAGACTTTTCTTACTTCCCCTGTAGTTACTGGTAAGATGTCGATTTCCTCTGGACTATTATTGTTTCTCACCATTTCATCGTGGTTATTTTGGCTTCTGTACAGCTCTCTGTAGAACTCCTCTGCCACCTTGACTATCCTATCCATATTAGTTATGACATTGCCTTCCTTGTTCCTCAATGCATACATTTGATTTTCGCCTATGCACAAGTCTGCCTTTGTAACTTTTAGGCTTCTGCCGCTTTTTACAGCCTCCTCAATTCTCTCCATGTTAACCTTCTGACATCGGCTGCCTTACGCCGATTAATTAACTTTGAAAGCTCCACTACCTCTATTTTGTTGGTTGCATTTGAGGCTTTCATGGTTCGTCGTCTCTTAAGATTTTTTGTCTCCGAGCTAGTTTGCCAGTATCCTGTACAGTGACTGTACCTCCGACTTCCATTGCAGACTCTTTGATGATACTAGTAAGTTTATCGTTCAATGTGTCAACGCTAATATCAAATTTATTCTGAAGCGAAACTCTGAATTCCTGTTTTTTGCCCTCTCACCGGTAGTTCATTATTTGTCTTCTTGTTTTTTTAAATCTAGGTGAATGAGAGCTTTAATCATTCTACAGTTACTGCATATGATCTTGCAAACTACTTCTACGTCCTGTACAATGCCTGGGTGTGCATATAGAATGAAGTAATTTTATTTTTAGTTTCACCATTAGGACGTGTGTCCCTGTGTGCATTTGCACATATCTTTAGCGCCACTTCATAATGTTTCACTCAATAAAAAGTTACAACAAGGTCACCTTCCATGCGCATGCTTCGTATAACATCAATTCCCAAGGTATGTGGGATCTGCTAAACTATTTTTTTCTTTGTTTCAGCAGTGACTGCAGTGCCCACTGTTCCCTCGTGTCTGTGGCAAAACAGGGACCAGGCATTGCTGGAAAACAAACCTTTGAAGCTGCCAACTAACCAGCACAGCCAACAACTATCTCTGAATACTTTGAATAATTTAAAATTCCTTATATTCCATTTTTGTATGCACTGTTAATTTGAAAACCTGCTTAATTTGCAGATTTCTTACAGTCCTAGAGGCTTTCAATTAATGAGGTTTTACTCTAGTTCGTCTGAAGAATTTAAATTAGCAATAAATAAAATTGACCCTGGGGAGTTGGATTTGGCAAAAAAATTCGACCCTCAAACGTTTAAAAATGGCCTGCTTGCACCTACTACCAAAATGACGGATAAAAAGAGAAAGAGTCGTCTTTCCTTGCTTCTTACAGGCTCATGAAAGTCATACCTGTTCAGTGCGAATGCGCCTAGAGGCATATTTCAAGTCCAAGTCCTGTTGCTGTTCAGCCTTTTCCACCTGCTGCTTCTGAGTACGATTCAGTGCTTCTAAGTCATTGTCGTAATCTCGCAGAAGAGTCTGGAAATAAAAAAAAATAGATTCAAATTGAACTAATTTATAGAAATAGCAACAGTCTAAAGTTGAAACTGTATAGCAGGTTCTCCTGGAGCCTCTGCTGAGAGTCTTGCAACAGTTGTAAAACTTTTGATGCGAAAATTCAGGGGTGTGATCATCATATAGTTTGTAGCTATTAAAAGAAGATGCGATCTGAAAAAAAAAAAAAAAGTTGCGATAATCTGAAGCACAGCTGCTCGATGAAAAACACACGGTGCAGCCTGCCGCGTCTAGACTCAGGTAATAGGCATGAGCGTGGAAGCGGAGTTGACAGTTGTCGCCGCATCTCGCTAGGAGGGCGCCCAGTAGTAGGGGAGAGCACTTGCGGGTGGGAAGGAATGTGTATTCAGTGGGTAGGTCGAGATAGCGGTTGTTTTTCTTCACATGACTCGCTCGAATTGAGCACCACTCAAGAGAGTTTGCGGATGTGGGATATTTTCTGCTTCAGGCAGAATGCTGTGTAACTGTTGTGTGCCGTTGTGTTCTACGAATGCGTCAAAGGATTTGCAAATAGGCTACCACAAGTTTCCTAGTAACGCAGAACGCAGGGCAACATGGCTGTGAAATATTTCCTGTGAAGGATCCGGTGGGAAGGGAACAGTATGGCAGCCGAATGACAGGTCCCTAGTGTGCAGCTGGCATATTACGGAGCAGGACTACAAAGAAGACCGTGAAGTTGAGGGTACTTTTGCCAACAGCCATGCCGACTGTGTTTCCCGACTATCCAAGCTACATGAGCACGCCTACTCCGATGAAGAAGCGGCCACGCTTGGAAATGGAAGATGATAATGCGCTGTCGCTTGCCGGGTGCTCGGGTAATGCTGCTTCAGAAAACAGGCCTGTCACTAGCCAGAACGGCTTGTCAAGTGACAGCGCTAAAGCCACGACATGCCCAACGAATCCAAACTGGGCATAATTTCAGATGCATGATGTCAAAGTACATTTGACGAAGCTTTTATATATATATATATATATATATATATATATATATATATATATATATATATATATATATATATATATATATATATATGAAGAAACACACTGATTCCAAGTGAAAATCACTCTCGTATGACTGCAGGCCCTTTAAGAAAAAGTGGACGACTCCGAGAAGCGTGCACAGTTTTATGAAAATAACATTGATATTGTCGTTCTATGAAGGTGCTCAATGGTGCTGCGCAAGGAGATAAGACTGCCGCGTTCATTAGAAAACAATTCCACAGTTTCTCGATGAAGAAGCCCCACTATAATTACATTGCCCTGATTTTCACAATGCTTGTATCTATGGTCAGTGGTGCAACAGCCAAAATACAATTTGAAGCACGTTAAGGAGAAAAATTCATACATTTTTTCAATCGTGAGATATCAAATTTGGAGCAGTATAAATAAGAAGGCTTACATTAAAAAAAAGTATGTATAAACAATTCAACATCACCTAAATCATGCACTGTGAATATGAGCACTGCTATTTCAATGAAAGTAGTATTTTGAACCACCTCACTGAGCAAACAGTGATGAAGTTCATATTAGCATTCACTGCGCCTGTCAAATCATCTGACAGGCTCTGCGAATTTAAATATGGATCTGCCAAGCTTGCGACCTTGAAATTTGGGAGATTTGTAAAACCGAGAAGTAGAGGTGACGAGGAAAAAAAAATGGCACACAATTCATTTTTTTATTTTAGTGAAGCAGAAACATTATACCCTGCTACATATGGTTGCCAGTAGCTTATTTAGATGTCAGTTATTATGCCAGTACTCAGAATTATGCGGCGTACAAATGCATGAGTAACCTAGCAAAATTTGCTGTGTTTCGTAAATAGCGCTAACAGCCCCTTCCAAATCTCAATACACTTTTCCACTAAGCACCAGTGTACTGCGGGAAAGGTGGCTGCAGCATTCTCTGCACGGTTTAGAACCAAAGCCAAGAAATTTTCTAACCACTGCACCTACCCCCCCCCCCCCCTTCCCACCTTTTTTTTCTTCTTTCACCGGGCGGTTGGTGCCACTTTGGCCCCCTTGCAAAGCACGTTCCACAAGGTAACATAACAACGGCGCGCACCCGTTGGCCTGGCGATGGTCACCATCATCATCATCAGCCTGACTACGTCCACTGCAGGACAAAGGCCTCTCCCATGTTCCGCCAGTTAACCCGGTCCTGTGCTCGCTGCTGCCAATTCATACCTGCAAACTTCTTAATCTCATCTGCCCACCTAACCTTCTGTCTCCCCTAACCCGCATGCCTCCTCTGGGGATCCAGTTAGTTACCCTTAATGACCAGCGGTTATCCTGTCTACGTGCTACATGCCCCGCCCATGTCCATTTTCTCTTCTTGATTTCAACTATGATATCCTTAACCCCCGTTTGTTCCCTAATCCACTCTGCTCTCTTCTTGTCTCTTGAGGTTACACCTACCATTTTTATTTCCATTGCTCGCTGCGTCGTCCTCAGTTTAAGCTGAACCCTCTTTGTAAGTCTTCAGGTTTCTGCTCCATAGCTAAGTACCGGCAAGATACAGCTGTTATACACCTTCCTCTTGAGGGATAGTGGCAATCTACCTGTCATGACTTGAGAGCGCTTGCCAAATGTGCTCCTCTTTGTAAGTCTCCAGGTTTCTGCTCCATAGCTAAGTACCGGCAAGATACAGCTGTTATACACCTTCCTCTTGAGGGATAGTGGCAATCTACCTGTCATGATTTGAGAGCACTTGCCAAATGTGCTCTACCCCATTCTTATTCTGGCTACGGTAATGGATATCAATTGCCAGGGCCGTAGCCGGAATGTCACAACTTGAAAACAAGACAAAAAAAAAAAGTTTTATGTGTGACTGCTAAGGCAATCAACATGGTCACTGGCAACGCCGGCGTTCCCAGCACGTCGAGCTTGTTCGCGCGAGGAAAACACGGCACACGCTTCCAGCTTTAGTTCTTAACAAGCCATAGCCGCGGTTCCAGGCTAGGAAATTTACATTTCCCACGAAGCGGTGGTGGCTACAGCAATGCATTTTTGTCTTTAAAGTTCCGCTGTCTTTCCGATAGGTATCCGCTGCGGTCAACAGACCGATGGGTGCGCACATTGTTACTTTATGTGGTCATATTTTAGGTACATTCTAGGCACTATAGTTGAGGTCTGCACACTTTGACGGATGGCGCAAACTGCAGGTGGCCAACGTGGCCTGCATTTTTCACCGAAACTAGTGCACCTCAAAAAATTTTGAGGCTGGCTGGACATTTTGGAGCAGCGTGGTGAAAATAAGTTGAGCGTTGTCGATAGGACGATTACCAATATAGTTAACGTTATGGCAAGTTAATTGCAACCCTTTCAAAACTAACAAGCACATAGCAGTTTCGCTGTCAAGCCGCAATCCGCTACTCTAACTTTTGGATGCCCTAGAGTCTCCCCTACTGGTGGCGTCGCGGCGACAAGTCTGAGCACTAGGCGCGCCATACGATGTCCACTTCATGCAGCAGGCCGCACTATGCGGTTTTCATTGAGTGGCCGTGATCTGTAGGCTAGGGCAATAAAATTTTTTGCTGCAGTTAAGTTTTATAGTAGGTTTCATAGTTTTCGCTTTATGCCATGACAATGAGTGAAGTATCGTTCACTTTGGACAAACATTTTATTCCGCTAAGCCTTTATGGTTCTGAGCCATTAATGGCTCATATTGCTCCACATTAACTGTAGAATGCAAATAACTATAAAGAAAATCAAGAAAGTGCACATAAAAGACGCTTTAATGGACAAGAAAAATTATAATGTGGCACATAAGACACTTTAATGGACAAGAAAAATTATGTGAGAATTTTTAGAATGCTCAGCCCCCATACGAATTCCTTAGTTTAAGTTCGTAATACCGTATTTACTCACATACTGAACGCACTTTTTTTCTCGAAACATAAGAGCAAAGTTGGGGGAGTGTTTATTATGCGTGGAAGATTTTATGAACACTTTTTCAAGAGCAAGAAATGCGGCAATGCAAAAAAAAGCTAAGTCGAAGCAATACTTTTTTGCAGACTAGTTGGTTCATACTTGAAAAATTGAATTGCTGCACAAACTTGAAGAAAAAAACAAGAGAGACAGGAAAGAGCGCAGACTACCAACTGTTGAAAAATTGAATTGCTGCACAAACTTGAAGAAAAAAAACAAGAGAGACAGGAAAGAGCGCAGACTACCAACTGTTTATAAAACAGTTGGTAGTCTGCGCTCTTTCCTGTCTCTCTTGTTTTTTTCTTCAAGTTTGTGCAGCAATTCAATTTTTCAAGCTAAGTCGCTTAGCCTTACAGCTTCCTTGTAGCACTTCACTCATCTTCGGTGGTTGGTGGCGCTATCTTCTGCAAGCTGTCCCCCGCACCGCCCGTGCATGCCATAAAAGCGTTTCACGGCTATCTTTTCTCGCAATCGTTTAACAGCAACAGTAGTACCTGCTGTGATCTTGAGGGGTGCCCAGGAGCATGCTCTAAAACGCACTTTGCCAACTTTGCTGCAATCTCGCATGACCGCTGCACTGCCGCCGTTGACGTTGCATCAAGCTAGCACCGAAACATCAGAACAAACTGCCAATAAAAAGATTAACTAAAAGCACGTGCGGATAACAAGCGCAAAGAACAAATTGCATTTGGAACGAAAATTGAAGGCGCTACCATGTTGCAGAAATAGTTGCAATCTTTTTTGGGTGACAAGCAATTTTTTTTGGGTGACAAGCAAGAAAGCTAGCACGCGATGGCGACGAATAGCACTTCGTGTCAGCCGTGGCGACAGCAAACGCTGTTGTCGCTAGAAAATTGTGTGCATATGGTTGAGCCTTGAAGTTTCGTATTTGCAGGAAATGACCGTTGGTTAGCACAAGCAGTTTCGTGACCTTCTCTCACAGTGTGCTTGTCAGCTATGATGTCTCTACACTCTCATTACTCCCTCGTGAATCCCACTGTTGGTGCATAGATATAATTAAAAAAGACTGGGAACGTG